GGCATTGAAAATAATAGCACCTGAACCTTCATTTTGCAATGGCAACAATTTTGCCAGGATCCCAAAACACTCAGCTGTGAATGGAGCCACCCTGGTTCACACATATGCGATTCTGAATGTGGTTTCAAACTCACAGATACGCATGACAGGCTAGATATTATGTTTTCCTGTTGAGGTGCTTCACACAGATGCGAACCACAGGCATTGCGTTTTGAGTGCCATTACGAAAAGGGTCCTTTGTAGCTGTGCATTCCAGACTTGCAAGAGTAGAGGGGTATGCGTAGATTTTCGCATTGAAGTGACTGGAGATTGTGTTTGCATTGAAGTCTATGCAATGCGATTTTGCATTAAAGTCAGTGGGAGGCAGTGTGTGAACCCAGGCGCCAGGACGCAATTTCAAGTCGTCATGGTGACCTGGCACCTGGGATTTGTCGAGCCCTGAAGTAAACAGCAGGTTATAGCTTAAGTCCAGTTAATGCATTTTAAGCAGTTCTAGAAGTTGTTTTTTCTTTTACAATATAACTTCATTTTAACTTAATATTAAGGGCCTGTTTATGTGTCATGGTTACCATAAGGTCACATAGAAACAGGGGCGGACTGACAACTCATGGGGCCCCTGGGCAATAAGGGATCATGGGGCCCCTGTGTCCAAACTCAAAAGTCTATGAAAAAAGGTACCAGGGGCATCTCATGGGGCCCCCTACTGACTCCGGGCCCTCGGGCAGTTCCCGAGTTTCCAAATGGTCAGTCCGCCCGTGCATAGAAACAGTTGTTTTCTATGTGTGCTGTTCACATTGCAACACTGCCTTCAGGTGGGTTTCAATGAGTTGTAAAAAATGCAGATATGCTGCATATTTCATGCAATGTACCGGAACCCACCTGAATAACCATCTGTTTCTGCACAACAACGGAGCTGCGCAGCATGGGAATTATTTAAGGCTCCATGCACACGGGGCATTTTGATAATGCTGGTAACGTTAGCTGTGTAAACTCAAGTTAGAAAACATAAGTTTTTCAGATTTTTTTTTAGCATTTTTGTATTCGCATTTAGCTGCGTTTTTCTGCGATTAGTGGTGTTTTCCCGTGTTTTCAGTCTTTAGCGTTTTTTTTTTTAATAAAAAAAATTTTTTTTTTTGTCCAAAACGCCGGTTTGCGGCGTTTTACCATGGTTTGCTGCGTTTTTCAGCGTTAGAGTGTTTTTACAGCTAAATAACTCCTCTAGAAACCCACTAGTCCTGGGTTCCTTTCCAGCCAAAAAAAAACACCCTGCCAAAAAACATTGATTACAGTCTGTGTGTGCATGGACACATAGGATAACATGCTGGGGGGTTTACTGGCTGTAAAAAAAAAAAAAAACATCAAAAGCCAAAAACAGCTTCTGTAAAAATGTTAAGTGTGCATGAGGACTAAGCCCTGGTTCACACTGATGTGGTGCGGAATTCGCAGCCTTTTCAGTGCGAATTCCGCACCGCATCACAATCGCACCCTGTTCATAGGAACCGATGCGGGTGTATATGTTAAGTTAACAACAACACCCCGACACCAGTCCGCAAAACGTGGTGCGATGTGCAGAATCGGATTGCATAGGTGTGAATACCTATATGATCCGATTCTAGTGTGGACCAAAAAAGGGTCCTGCACGTTTTGGGTGCGGTGCGAATAGAGCCATAGAAAATGTTCAACTACCACCTCTACGCAAATGATGACATGCAAATTTACCTCTCCACCCCTCACCTCACCCCTTCTGTCTCCGTCCGTATCACTCACCTGCTGAACGACATATCAAACTGGATGTCACTCCATTTCCTCAAACTGAACCTTTCCAAAACCGAGCTTCTAATCTGCCCCCCAGCCCGCGTGCCCCCTTCCCCCACCCTCTCCATCACAACCAACAACGCCACCATCAGTCCCACCCCACAAGCCAAAGTCCTAGGTGTATCTGTAGACTCAAACCTGTCCTTCCTACCCCATATCCAATCGTTGGCAAACTCATGCAGGCTCCACCTCCGCAACATCTCCAAAATACGTTCGTTCCTAACCCCAGACACTACTAAACAACTCGTTCACTCCCTTATTATCTCACGTCTGGACTACTGCAACTCCCTCCTCACCGGCCTACCTCATCACAGACTATCCCCGCTTAAGTCTATCCTGAACTCAGCGGCCAGACTCATCCACCTTACCAACCGCTCCTCTTCTGCCACCCCCCTCTGTCATTCCCTCCACTGCCTCCCGATCGCCCAACGCATTAAATTCAAACTACTAACACTGACATACAAAGCCATTCACAACGCTGCCCCAAGCTACCTCACCGACCTGATACCCAAATACCACCCAACCCATAATCTTCGCTCCTCACAAGACCTCCTACTTTCTAGCTCCCTGGTCTCCTCCTCCCACGCCCGACTGCAGGACTTCTCCAGGATTTCCCTCATCTTTTAGAACTCACTACCCCAATCCATCAGACTGTTACCTGCCCTCCTCACCTTTAGGCGCACCTGAAAACCCATCTCTTCAGGGAAGCCTACCCCACCCTCACCTAACTGCCGATCTCCTCCACTCCTCCTTCCACTCCATCCCCCACAGCCACTTCCTCCTGTACCACTATCCCCTCCCTCCTAGATTGTAAGCTCGAAAGAGCAGGGTCCTTGAACCCCTCGTGTTTTGTTTTGTTACTGAATTGTCTCATGTTCTGTCCCCCACTATAATGTACAGCGCTGAGCAAACCTTTGGCGCTATATAAATACTCTACAATAATAATATGGCTCTAATCGCACCGCATACAAATTGCATGCGATTTTTACAGGAATGCGGTTCCTGTGCGAATCACATGGGATTTACCGCACCGCTGGAGTGTGAACCCAGGCTTATATTAGATTGACATTTCAATAGAGCTTAAAAAAACACAGGATGGCATTTCCCCCCACCACCTTATTACTTGCATACAAGGAACCCTAGCCCACCTGCTAAAATGGATTGTTGTAGGGTGCAGCTGGTGTGAATGGGATCTAATGTATATTATTAAGAACTGCCCATTGTAAGCAACCATAGCAGTGTTATAGGGTTTGTCATAGCACCTGTGACTGTCACTTTTGCTGGACAGCTTGGTGTGCACGTTAATGTAGAGAAATGTAAGAAATAAAACACAGAATTCATATGCTGAATACAAATATTAATATTAGCAATTATCCACACACCGTTAACAGAATACACAGTTTTTTTACTATAGGTTTTTTTTTTGCATCCTATAGTGGAGATTTCCCTTCACTTCCTGTCCCATAGGCAAACAAGAAGCAAGAGGGAATCCCTTGTGCACCCCCCCCCCCCCCCCCCCCCCCCCCCCCCCCCCCCCAGGTCAGCAGAACTAGTGTCCCCATTGGAAGATTTTCCCCTCTGTTACATTTCCTGGGACAATGCAAAATTTGGGATTTTCTTTCACTTTCAGTGATAATGGTAAACAGGGCAAATAGAGAGGGGTGTTTCTACATAACTAGTGCACCGGCAGCAATAAAAACTGACTAGTGTTCTCACCCCTCTGCACTCCATCCAAAACAAAAAAAAAAGTTTTGCCTTTAGTTATACTTTAAGGCTCCATGCACACTAGTGTTTTTTTAAGCTTCTAGAAGCTGTTATTAGCATTTTTCTGCTCCTAGAAGCTAAATTGTGCTATCCTATGTGTCTGTGCACGCTACTTTAGGCTATTAACGCTTTTTGAGCTTCAGTGTCTAGGAGCAGAAAAAAAAAATGTTTTTGTAGAGTTTTTTTGGAGCGTTTTTCTAACAGCAAAAAAAATCTAAACACTGCTAACAGCTCCTAAACGCTACTAAAACGCTCCTAACAGCTTTTTCATCTTTCTTTTTTTTCTACATGTACTATAAAAATGCTAATAAAATGCTAACGCTTCTAAACACTACTAAAAATGCTTTTATCAGCATTATTTTATCCAGTGTTTTTTCCAGAATTTTTTAGCTTAAAAAAAAAAAAGCACTAGTGTGCATGGAGCCTTAGAGGACCGGCCAACAAGATGAAGAGGCAGGGACCTCACAATATTCTGCATATACTATATAGTTTGCAGAGTGCCCTGGTACTTTGAAAAGCTGTAACACACATTAATACAAAGCTAAAAAATTACAGCTGACAGTTTTACCACATATACAGTATATCGATTTAGTAAACTAGAACCCTTTGCATAGTATAAACACCCCATTCCTATGGGAGCCAGTAGTGATAATGGTTCCATCAATCTAATAGTTCCCAGACTTTCAGTTGTGTGTGCTGCAAGCTCAGTGATGAGGTTGAGGAAGATGATCTTCTCTTCCAGTATTTCATGAACCAAGTATACTGTCAATGAAAAGGAATATACACAGACTGCTTTGAGCTAACTCCTGCTCCCCTCTGATGCCATGCAGTTCAGGACTTGTCAGCCGAATACCAGTCCACCCACATGGCTCTTTTCCTCATTGATGACTCTTCTTGTCTAGCACAGGCAGCAGGAGTCATTTTCAGGGGCTTCTGCTGATAGGTGGTTTTTAACGCACTAACAAGTTACTATTTAAGGCTGTTACTAAAGTGTTACTAAACCTGCAACAGTAAAATCAGTCTGTATATGCAGTAAAGCGTGCTTGTTATACTCACTGTGGAACTTAAGGGGTTAATCCTCTGCATTGTGTAAAAAGGGTATTCGATCCTGACTTCTCTGTTCCTCCCCTTTTTCAAGCTACCACTACTTATCTCTAGACTGAACCATAGGAATGCAATGCTCAGTTTGGTGTATATTGCTAGAGAGGTTTTTTTTTTTTCTTGGGAGAGTGCATGTGATCAGCACAGGGCCAATCAGCACTGTCCAGACAGAGGTCAGGGGATTTCCATCCTCCTAGAGCAGAAAGAAATCTCCTCCTACAAGCTTTAGCTAGTGCTGAGCAGGACACTGATAGAAGCCACAAGACTGCTCTAAGTGCTGATGAGGAAAGGTATTTTGCAGTTTATATTTACTAAAATAATTGCATTTCCATGTTGTGTATACTGTGGGAGAGTAGATATAGTGACTGCAGGGTCCGGGAAGACAAGATATAGTGAATGCAGGGTCCGGGGAGACCAGATATAGTGAATGCAGGGTCTGGGGAGACCAGATATAGTGAATGCAGGGTCCGGGGAGACCAGATATAGTGAATGCAGGGTGCGGGGAGACCAGATATAGTGAATGCAGGTGCGGGGAGACCAGATATAGTGAATGCAGGGTCCAAGGAGACCAGATATAGTGAATGCAGGGTCCAAGGAGACCAGATATAGTGAATGCAGGGACCGGGGAGACCAGATATAGTGAATGCAGGGTCCAGGGAGACCAGATATCGTGAATGCAGGGTGCGGGGAGACCAGATATAGTGAATGCAGAGTCCGGGGAGACCAGATATAGTGAATGCAGGGTCCAAGGAGACCAGATATAGTGAATGCAGGGTGCGGGGAGACCAGATATAGTGAATGCAGGGTCCAAGGAGACCAGATATAGTGAATGCAGGGTGCGGGGAGACCAGATATAGTGAATGCAGGGGGCCAGGGAGACCAGATATAGTGAATGCAGGGGGTCCGGGGAGACCAGATATAGTGAATGCAGGGTCTGGGGAGACCAGATATAGTGAATGCAGGGTCCGGGGAGACCGGATATAGTGAATGCAGGGTGCGGGGAGACCAGATATAGTGAATGCAGGGTCCGGGGAGACCAGATATAGTGAATGCAGGGTCCAGGGAGACCAGATATAGTGAATGCAGGGTGTGGGGTTTAGTAACACTTTAAAGAGTCTTACCATTAAAATGCACACTTTAGATGAATCAATAGGGCACCGAATCACATTACCATTTTGAGTTAAAAAGGTCCTGTTTCGTTACATAAATGTTGGTGTGCTCACTCCTGTCACCTACGGCCAGGACTAAAGATCCTGTTGTCCTCAGCTGCCAGGAGCATTGTGGTTATTTTTGGCCTTAGAGACTGAAGAGAGTCGGTAGCTTTTAATCAGATAGACACTGGGGTTGATATACTAAAGGAGAATAAGATCTTAGTCTTAGCAAAAGCTCTGCTGATTTCCATCATCCAATCCTGTCCAAGCAAAAATGAAATGCTGTTTTTTTTTTCTTTCTTTTTCATTTTCCTTTCTTGTGATTGGGTATTCTTTGCAAAGTGAAGCTTTACCTCATTTACTAAGCTCTCCAGCAACTGCACTTTGCAAAGTTCACAGTCTATTTGCCTTTAGTAAATGTCTGGTGGATGTGCTGGTGACATAGGAAGATCAGTAAGGCACAACTATGAACCAACACCTGTATGTACAATAAGTAAATATGGCTTTTGTCATGTACATGTATACAACCTATATAGAGAAATAAGGTTTTTAAAACTGAAGCTTCAGGCAAATGTAAAACCTTCAAAAATGTATTCAGTTTTATTTACAACAAATCATTAAAACTGAACTCCAGGTAGAGATTTTATTTCATAGTCAACCTGGACCAATGTAAGTATACATATGCCATAACTGTGAAACCACTGAGGAAGTGGAAAATCACTGTAGTAGCAGGGATGTTGAATTCATATCACCCGACGCCTGGGATATGTAGTTCTGGGCGCTGGGCAGGTAGTTTTTTTCCAACCTTTAGCCCTGCTGTGAGCAAGCAGCAGGGCTCACCTGTCAGGTGGAAACATTCAGGCGGCAACGCTGCCACCAGTTGCTTCCACACTGTGCCAGCCCTGTGTGAACCTTCCCCAGTGTGAGATCCCCGGAGCTCCGCTTGCCCATCTGCAGGCCCGGGACCAGTTCACAGCCATTGGCTAGAGGGGAGGGAGGAGAACGAACACGTCCGCTCCCCTTCTTGTCCTGACACGGAAGTGACATTATGATGTCACTTCTGGGTCCCCGTTGACAGATTCCTGGCCATGGAGGCAGATGTGCACTGCATTACATTCAGTGGAGCACATCTGTCTCAATAAAGAAAAACAAAAATCATCACATAGGAGACTTTTTTTTTTTTTTTTAATTATATTGTAAAAAATTAAATTTACACCCAAGCACATAACAAAAAAAATGGAGCCCACCCCCACATATACGCATGTACATATGTAAATGCACACACTGAGTCACCTACGTATGATTGCGATACACATGTTACATATCGCCAGGAAATGCTAGGATGAGAGTTCTAGCACGAGACCTCCAACATAACACTTTACCGATTGACCTATAAATGTCACCTATAGAAAATATAGGGTACTGAAGTTTGTTGCCATTTCACGGGTGTATGCAAATTTAGGGTTTGACATGTTGGATATCTATGTACGTGGTGCAGCCTCGTCTTTTATATTTTACAAAAAAATAGGGTCATTTTATTGCTTTTTTTGTGCCCTAAAATTAATTTACTTATATTTTTTACTGAAATTTTGTGGTAATATCATGCAACATAAAAAATTAAAACTACCACCATTTTATTCTGTAGGGTCTCTGCTTCCAGAAAATATATAATGTTTGGTGGTTTTATGTCATCTTCAGGCCTAAAGTGTGCAAAATCAGCTCTGGCAGCGAAAGGATAAAGGATAAGCCTGACACTCCCCTACCCTGACAAGCAGCCAATCGGTGCTCATTACACTGCAAGGTCTCCTCCCCTCCCTGCTAATCTCCAGGTGCGGTGCTGGAGACAGGCCGGGAGGGGAGGAGGAGATAATCAGCGTAATGTTAAAATTATTACACGTTTAAGTTGCCATAAAGCCCCTTTTGTTTTTAAAAGCCCCAGACATTCCTCCCTCCTACGGTTTTGGTTAAATTTTTTTTTTCTGAACAAGTAGATTGTCATGAGGGACAAGTAGATTGGAACCCAAATTTAGTCCCCAGACAAGTAGTTAAAAAATTTCTACACCCCTGAGTAGTCACTGCTGCTACAGTGATTTCCGCTATCTTCCAGATCCAGTGCCTAGCAGCTTCCCTGCTGCATAATAACCAGAAGGAGGCGCTCACTCGGCACGGCCACCATTTACCGAACGCCTTACATTTTTCTCAATGATCACAAAGCATTCTCTGATTGGGCAAGGTGGAGATTGTGACATCACCACCCCTCTTCTCCATCCCATGCAATCAGAGAAGTACTTGCATTAATTGAGAAAAGTACAAGACTTTCTGTGATTAGCACCTGTGCTGAGTGAACAATCCCTTGTGGTTACTGGGCAGCAGGGTAGTAGTGACAACTACTGCAGTGATTCTCGACTTCAACAGCATTCCCACAAATATGGTATATATGAGGGGCGTTCAAGTCAAACCGGGACTTTTAATTTTCCAGGTATAAAAAGGGATGTTAGTGTGGTGGTACTACACGCAGTAGTAAGTGGTAAGTGTGTCCTATTACTGATAGGCGGCGCACATGTCGCAGGCAAGTCTAGAGAGCGTTAATCAAGATGGCAAACAGTGTTAGTGCGTGCGTGCAACAGCGTGTGGTGATGACGTTTCTTGTGAATTAAGGCGTAAAACCATCGGATATCTACAGAAGACTTCAAGCACAGTACAGTGATGAGACGCTCAGCCACAGTAAGACATCTGAATGGTGTAAATGTTTCAAAGATGGGCGTATGTCTGTCAGTGTTGATCCTGACTGTGGTGGGTCCCAAGCCCACAGCAGTTTTTCCTGTGAACATTTAATGCCTGGAATGCCTGATCCTGGATAATCATGGATGAGGAGGCACTTGTGAGGCTGCACTGATATGTGGCACTGATAGGCAATAATGATGGGCACTGATAGGCGGCACTAATAGGCAGCACTGAAGGGCACTGATAGGTGGCACTGGCTGGTGGCTCTGATGGGTACCGATTGGCAGCACTGCTGGGAACAGATTGGCAGCACTGCTGGGAACAGGTTGACAGCAATGCTGGGCACTTTTGGAGCTGCACTGATAGTTATCAGTGCCCTGATTATCAATGTAAATGTCTCCTTTCACACTTGCCAGTTATCGGCAGTACTTACCTCATGCTGTGACAGTGTGAGGAAAGTACTGCTGGTAACCGGCAAGTGTGTTTACACAGGAAGCACACTGCTGGGGGAGCACGGGGAGTGCGGCTCTGGGAGGACGTCATTTGATGCCCTCCCAGAACTGGCCAACTGCACTGTAGCCGTCATTTGGAGGAGAAGTATGGTCAAAGCTATTCTATTTTGGCCATATGTCTCCTGTGGGTCACAAGAATGCACTTATTTCTGTATTCCTGTGCCTCAGATTCAGCAAAGAGCAGGCTAAAGCCCGCTGTCAGCTGACATCACAGAGCCGGTCCAGACTCTGCAGGGATCCTGACAATAATGTTGGGATCCGTCCAAATTCCTGACCAACAGCTGGCTCAGCCTCTCAGTGCACCGCTGAGAGCCTAGGCTAGCGGCTCCTACCCCCTCCACAGCCTGGCATTCCAGTGAGCACTGGAGGGGCAGAGCACTGAGCGTTGACTGACAGTCACTGCTCAGTGCTCACTGCTGACTCGAAAACTGAACCATCAGCAATCTTTGATCTCAGTGTAAAGCCGGCAGGGGACAGGTGCAGCATCATATCAATGCTGCAGCCATCTAGGTGAGTATGACTGTATATATTTTTTTTTTGTTACTGCACATCTCTTTTAAGTTCCAGAATTTGATTAGGTATCAGTCTCTTGTAATATGCTGTAAATAGAATACTGACTAGGAAGATGCTGATAGGAGAGAGCTGAGTGTTGACTCATCTATCTTCTGCCTTTGTTCCTTTAGCGTGGGTTCACATATATGCGGTGCGATATATCGCATGTGATTCGCACAGGAACCACGCCACATTCCTGTGCAAATCACATGCGATTTGTGTGCGGTGCGATTGGAGCCATACATTTAATCACACCGCAACCGCATCAAAAACAAGCAGGACCCTTTTTTAAGGTCCGCACTAGAATCGGATCACATGGGTATTCACACATGTGCGATCCGATTCAGTGCATTGTACCACGTTATGCGGACCACTTTCGGGGGGGGGGTTGTTAACTTACACATCCGCAGCGGTTCGCATGAACGGGGTGCCATTCTGATGCGGTGCGGAATTCGCACAGAAAATGGTGCGAATTCCACATCGCATCATTGTGAACCAGGGCTTATTGTCCAACTACAGGTCGAGAGCAGGAAGGGGACCAGGCTGTACTGTTCTACATGCAATACTGATTAAATGGCTCTGGTGTTGTGTCCAGGCTGTGTAAATCTCTGGACTGGATGAACAGAAAGGCACATCATTTGACAGAACAATATCTCCCCATATAGGCCCCTTTCACACGGGCGTTCCATTTTTTTCATCAGTTCAGTCACGTTTTTCCATGAAAAAACAGGGCAGTTCGCATCAGTTTTTCATCAGTTTTTCCAGTTCAACGATTAAAAAAAAAAAAAAAAGTTATAATCCTACACCCACAGTTGATCCAGAGGAAGGCAAAAAAAAAAACCCAGCAAAGCATGATCCAATTTTCTCCTGCAGGGGAAAAAATTCCTTCCTGATCCCCTGAGAGGCAATCGGATATTCCCTGGATCAACGTTTCCTATAAATTTTAGTATCCAGTTATATTTTGTGCATCTAGGAATGAATCCAGGACTTTTTTAAAGCAATCCACTGAGCTGGCCAGAACCAACTCTTGAGGGAGTCTATTCCACATTTTCAAAGCTCATCTATTTTTCATCAGTTTACATCAGTTTTTTTGTCCATTTACATCTGTCTTCGTCCGGTTACATCTGT